ATGGACATGGAATGTCCGCTTTGCCCTCAGACCCCAACATGTAACATGGCTCTTTGGACCGTTCATGGACATGGAATGTCCGCTTTGCCCTCAGACCCCAACATGTAACATGGCTCTTTGGACCGTTCATGGACATGGAATGTCCGCTTTGCCCTCAGACCCCAACATGTAACATGGCTCTTTGGACCGTTCATGGACATGGAATGTCCGCTTTGCCCTCAGACCCCAACATGTAACATGGCTCTTTGGACCGTTCATGGACATGGAATGTCCGCTTTGCCCTCACACCCCAACATGTAACATGGCTCTTTGGACCGTTCATGGACATGGAATGTCCGCTTTGCCCTCACACCCCAACATGTAACATGGCTCTTTGGACCGTTCATGGACATGGAATGTCCGCTTTGCCCTCACACCCCAACATGTAACATGGCTCTTTGGACCGTTCATGGACATGGAATGTCCGCTTTGCCCTCACACCCCAACATGTAACATGGCTCTTTGGACCGTTCATGGACATGGAATGTCCGCTTTGCCCTCAGACCCCAACATGTAACATGGCTCTTTGGACCGTTCATGGACATGGAATGTCCGCTTTGCCCTCAGACCCCAACATGTAACATGGCTCTTTGGACCGTTCATGGACATGGAATGTCCGCTTTGCCCCTCAGACCCCAACATGTAACATGGCTCTTTGGACCGTTCATGGACATGGAATGTCCGCTTTGCCCTCAGACCCCAACATGTAACATGGCTCTTTGGACCGTTCATGGACATGGAATGTCCGCTTTGCCCTCAGACCCCAACATGTAACATGGCTCTTTGGACCGTTCATGGACATGGAATGTCCGCTTTGCCCTCAGACCCCAACATGTAACATGGCTCTTTGGACCGTTCATGGACATGGAATGTCCGCTTTGCCCTCAGACCCCAACATGTAACATGGCTCTTTGGACCGTTCATGGACATGGAATGTCCGCTTTGCCCTCAGACCCCAACATGTAACATGGCTCTTTGGACCGTTCATGGACATGGAATGTCCGCTTTGCCCTCAGACCCCAACATGTAACATGGCTCTTTGGACCGTTCATGGACATGGAATGTCCGCTTTGCCCTCAGACCCCAACATGTAACATGGCTCTTTGGACCGTTCATGGACATGGAATGTCCGCTTTGCCCTCAGACCCCAACATGTAACATGGCTCTTTGGACCGTTCATGGACATGGAATGTCCGCTTTGCCCTCAGACCCCCCCAACATGTAACATGGCTCTTTGGACCGTTCATGGACATGGAATGTCCGCTTTGCCCTCAGACCCCAACATGTAACATGGCTCTTCATGGACATGGACCGTTCATGGACATGGAATGTCCGCTTTGCCCTCAGACCCCCCAACATGTAACATGGCTCTTTGGACCGTTCATGGACATGGAATGTCCGCTTTGCCCTCAGACCCCAACATGTAACATGGCTCTTTTGGACCGTTCATGGACATGGAATGTCCGCTTTGCCCTCAGACCCCAACATGTAACATGGCTCTTTGGACCGTTCATGGACATGGAATGTCCGCTTTGCCCTCAGACCCCAACATGTAACATGGCTCTTTGGACCGTTCATGGACATGGAATGTCCGCTTTGCCCTCAGACCCCAACATGTAACATGGCATTTGGCTCTTTGGACCCCAACATTCATGGCTCTTTGGGACATGGAATGTCCGCTTTGCCCTCAGACCCCCAACATGTAACATGGCTCTTTGGACCGTTCATGGACATGGAATGTCCGCTTTGCCCTCACACCCCAACATGTAACATGGCTCTTTGGACCGTTCATGGACATGGAATGTCCGCTTTGCCCTCAGACCCCAACATGTAACATGGCTCTTTGGACCGTTCATGGACATGGAATGTCCGCTTTGCCCTCAGACCCCAACATGTAACATGGCTCTTTGGACCGTTCATGGACATGGAATGTCCGCTTTGCCCTCAGACCCCAACATGTAACATGGCTCTTTGGACCGTTCATGGACATGGAATGTCCGCTTTGCCCTCAGACCCCAACATGTAACATGGCTCTTTGGACCGTTCATGGACATGGAATGTCCGCTTTGCCCTCAGACCCCAACATGTAACATGGCTCTTTGGACCGTTCATGGACATGGAATGTCCGCTTTGCCCTCAGACCCCAACATGTAACATGGCTCTTTGGACCGTTCATGGACATGGAATGTCCGCTTTGCCCTCACACCCCAACATGTAACATGGCTCTTTGGACCGTTCATGGACATGGAGGGAGGGTGTGGCCAAGAGGACCTCCCATTTTCATGTAAGGTTCAATTGAAGCTGTGATCCAGGGGCCCCAAACATTGTAACAAAGAGCCACTGTCCTCCAAACTTTAGGAGGGGCGGATGGACAACAGAAAATGTCTTGGTGTCAGTGGAAATAGTGCCTTGGTGTCAGTGGCAGAACTATGCCCCACTGTTACAGACAGTGGGGGGGGAATAATGGCCCAATGGCTGGATAAAAGGGGGCAAAGGGCCACCATCTGGCCCCCGGTCCGTAGTTTGGAGACCATCACTGCACATGGAAGACATTCCTCTTTCTGGTAGAAACAAAAATTGTTCATTTTCCAAGATTCAGGGACTCCATACGGCATCCACCCGAATCCTGCACCCTCTACCAGGGTCACCACACTGCAGACGTTGACACCAATGATGGGACACTCCACCTGACACCAATGATGGGACACTTCTCCACCTGACACCAATGATGGGGCACTTCTCCACCTGACACCATTTCCTCCCACTGATGATGGGACACTTTCTCCCACACCCCAATGATGGGACACTCCCACCTGACACCAATGACCAATGATGGGGCACTTCTCCACACTGACACCAATGATGATGGGGCACTATTCCTCCACTGACACCAAGAATGGGGCACTATTCCTTCCACTGACACCAATGATGGGACACTTTCCTCCCACTGACACCAATGATGGGGCACTATTCCTCCCACTGACACCAATGATGGGGCACCATTCCCCCCACTGACACCAATGATGGGGCGCTACTTCCTCCCACTGACACCAATGATGGGGCGCTATTCCTCCACTGACACCAATGATGGGGCACTATTCCACTGACACCAATGATGGGGCACTATTCCTTCCCACTGACACCAATGATGGGCACTATTCCTCCCCACTGACACCAATGATGGGGCACTATTCCTCCCACTGACACCAATGATGGGGCCCCCCACTATTCCTCCCACTGACACCAATGATGGGGCACCTATTCCTCCCACTGACACCAATGATGGGGCGCTATTCCTCCCCCACTGACACCAATGATGGGGCACTATTCCTCCCACACGAATGATGGGGCACTATTCCTCCCACTGACACCAATGATGGGGCACTATTCCTCCCCCGACACCAATGACACCCCACTGACACCAATGATGGGGCACTATTCCTCCCACTGACACCAATGATGGGGCACTATTCCTCCCACTGACACCAATGATGGGGCGCTATTCCTATTCCTCCCACCACTGACACCAATGACACCAATGATGGGGATGGGCGCTATTCCTCCCACTGACACCAATGATGGGGCACTATTCCTCCCACTGACACCAATGATGGGGCACCACTGACACCATGATGGGCGCTATTCCTCCCTGACTGATGACACCAAATGATGGGGCGCTATTCCTCCCACTGACACCAATGATGGGGCGCTATTCCTCCCACTGACACCAATGATGGGGCGCTATTCCTCCCACTGACACCAATGATGGGCGCTATTCCTCCCACTGACACCAATGATGGGGCGCTATTCCTCCCACTGACACCAATGATGGGGCGCTATTCCTCCCACTGACACCAATGATGGGGCGCTATTCCTCCCCCCACACTGACACCAATGACGCTATTCCCCCCACTGACACCAATGATGGGGCGCTATTCCTCCCACTGACACCAATGATGGGGCGCTATTCCTCCCACTGACACCAATGATGGGGCGCTATTCCTCCCACTGACACCAATGATGGGGCGCTATTCCTCCCACTATTCCTATTCCTCCACTGACACCAATGATATTCCTCCCTGGGGCGCTATTCCTCCCACTGACACCAATGATGGGGGCACTATTCGCTATGATCGCTATTTCCCCCACTGACACCAATGACGGGGCGCTATTCCTGACACCAATGATGACGGGGGCGCTATTCCTCCCCACTGACGCTATTCCTCCTCCCACTGACACCAATGACAGGGCGCTATTCCTCCCCTGACACCAATGATGAGGGGGGGCGCTATTCCTCCCCTGACACCAATGACGGGGCGCTATTCCTCCCACTGACACCAATGACGGGGCACTATTCGGGGGGCGCTTTTCCTCCCACTGACACCAATGACGGGGCGCTATTCCTCCCACTGACACCAATGACGCGGGCACTATTCCTCCCACTGACACCAATGACGGGGCACTATTCCTCCCACTGACACCAATGATGGGACACTATTCTCCACACTGACACCGACAATGATGGGGCGCTATTCCTCCCACTGACACCAATGACGGGGCGCTATTCCTTCCCCCACTGACACCAATGACGGGGCGCTATTCCTTCCCCCACTGACACCAATGACGGGGCGCTATTCCTTCCCCCACTGACACCAATGACGGGGCGCTATTCCTTCCCCCACTGACACTGACGGGGCATTCCTCCCCCCATGACACCAATGACGGTGGGCACTATTCCCCCCACTGACACCAATGACGGGGCACCATTCCTCCCACTGACACCAATGACGGGGCACCATTCCTCCCACTGACACCAATGACGGGGCACCATTCCTCCCACTGACACCAATGACGGGGCACTTTTCCTCCCACTGACACCAATGACGGGGCACTATTCCTCCCCCCACTGATACCAATGACGGGGCACTATTCCTCCCCCCACTGACACCAATGATGGGGCACTATTCCTCCCACTGACACCAATGATGGGGCGCTATTCCTCCCACTGACACCAATGATGGGGCGCTATTCCTCCCACTGACACCAATGATGGGGCACTATTCCTCCCACTGACACCAATGATGGGGCACTATTCCTCCCACTGACACCAATGATGGGGCACTATTCCTCCCCACTGACACCAATGATGGGGCACTATTCCTCCCACTGACACCAATGATGGGCACTATTCCTCCCACTGACACCAATGATGGGGTACTATTCCTCCCACTGACACCAATGATGGGGCACTTTTCCTCCCACTGACACCAATGATGGGGCACTATTCCTCCCACTGACATCACAGCACTTTCTGTTGCTCCTGGCCAGTTTGGCCCCCCCAACCCCCGCAGGACAGTGAACTGGTCCTTTGTTTAGAAGGTCTGGAGACCCCCGCTCTACACTCACAAACATCTGGAGTTGGTTTAAACTCCACCCAAAAATGAAGCACAAGGATTGGCCGACTTTGGAGATGACCTGTCACCATTAACCTAGCGGTGTCATCGGATGACCTCCTAACCCCTCCTCCCCCCCACCCCGGCGGTGCAAGGCACAAGGCTGCACAAATCACGGAAGGCGAAATATTCATCATTTATTTTATTAAAAGACAACACGTGGTGGGATTGAACGGCTCGGGGATGGGCTATGGAAGGGGATTGTACAGATGCCGTTTGGAGGAACACTGTTACGTATGATTGGAGGAGCGCCTGATCTACACAGCGCCGTTCTCCTTCTACTTTCAGTCCTTGCCCGCCTTTGCTCCAGACTTGGGCTTCACCTGAACTTTCTTCTTGATGAGAAGTTTCTTCTTTCCTCCGATGATGATGGATTGAAGGTTCTTCTTCTTGGCGGCCAGCCCACGCCATTTCTTGGGGCCTCCACTCCCTACTTTTTGGGCTTTCTCCTTAGCGGGCTCTTTCTTGGCTCTCTTGGCGACGCTCTTCTTCGGAGTCGGCTCCTTGGCCGTCTGTTCGGTGGGCTTCTCTTCCTTTTCTTCGCTCTGCTTCTCAGAGGCGGTTTTCTTTCCTTCACCCTCAGAAGTTCCTTCACCGTCGGCCTTGGCTCGTTTCTCCTTGGTTTTAGGATCGCTCGTACCTTTGCCCTTCTTTTTGCCGGCGGCGGCTTTCTTGGCTTTGACCATTCGGTTTTTGTTTTTGAGTTTTTGTGCGGCTTTAAGCGCTTTCTGTTTTTCATCGACTTTGCGCTTTTTCTGCGCGATCTCTCCATCCGAAGTGGCGCTGGCCGCCTCCTTCGGGACCTTTCTTTTTGCTGCGGCCTTTTTCAGGAGGAGCTTTTTCCCTTTGCTTTTGCTCTGACAGATCTTGATGTGGTTGAAGAGAGATTTCATGTAGAGGAAGCGTTTTCCGCAATGTATGCAAGGCGTGACCGTTCTTTCTCCATGGACGGCCTTGTGTCGGACCAACATCTTTAGTTTGACGAAACGCAGTCCGCAGACCGCGCAGGAAAACGGTTTTTCTTCCATCGGCTTTTTAGGTTGCTCGGCATTGCTTTCATTGTCGGCATTTTGGTCGGGACTGGAGGAGTCCTCGTGGACTTTGTTGACGTGAGCAGCAAGTCTACCTTTGCTGGTGTAGACTTTGTTACAGTCTTTACATGGAAATGAAGGCTCCTCCCCGTCACCTTTAGGGTTGGGATTGTTCTCTGAACTGGAAGACTTGTGCACTTTGCGATGAAGGATGAAGCTCGCCTTGGTGGAACAGACTTTGCTACAGACCTTGCATGTGAAAGATTTCTTCTCAGGGTCAGCCTGAAGGTTCTGCCCACTTTTGTGCACCTTGGAATGGAGGACAAAGCTGGCTTTAGTAGAGCACACCATATCGCAGTGTTTGCAGCTGAAAGATTTGGACTCGTCGGCTGCCTTGGGATTTTGCCCACCGACTGATGACCGGTGCACTTTACTGTGAAGGGCGAAGCTGGCCTTGGTGGAGCACACCATATCACAATGTTTGCAGTTGTATAACTGGGGCTCCTCAGACGTCTTGGGACTTTGCTCACCTCCGAGTAACGACCGGTGCACTTTACTGTGAAGGATGAAACTGGCCTTGGTAGAGCACACCATATCGCAGTACTTGCAGTTGTACAACTGCGGCTCCTCCACCCCTTTGGGACTTTCCTCATCGACTAATGACCGGTGCACTTTACTGTGGAGGATGAAGCTGGCCTTGGTGGAGCACACCATATCGCAGTGCTTGCAGTTGTAGGACGGTGGCTCGGCCTCGGCTTTGAGATTTTGCTCGCTAATGGATGGAGACTTGTGCACTTTACTGTGGAGGACAAAGCTGGCCTTGGTGGAGCACACCATATCGCAATGCTTGCAGTTGTAGGATTGTGGTTCTGCATCAGCCTTTGGGCTCTTCTGACCTTTGGACGAGGATCTATGCACCTTCCTATGAAGCACGTAGCTGGATTTGGTGGAGAACACCATATCACAATTCTTACATTTAAAAGATGGAGTCTCTGTATCTTCACCCGTTGTGGGAGTCTTGTGGACCTTACGGTGAAGGACCAAACTTGCCTTTGTAGAACAAACTTTGCTACAGTAATCACAGACGAAGCTTGGCGTGTCGGACTCTACTTTGATGTTCGGGGTTTGCTCACCATCGGCTGGGGACTTGTGCACTTTACGGTGAAGAACGAGGCTGGCCTTGGTTGAACACACTTTATCACAATCGCTGCAAGGGAAGCAGCCTTTGAGGTCGAGGCTCCCCTCAGACTTGGCACTTGCCTTGTGGGCGGAATGGTTCTTCAAATGCAATTTAAGATTACCCTTGGAGGAGAAAACTTTATTGCATTCTTTGCAGCAGAAAGGATCCGTTTCCTCGCTCTGTTCACGCTTAATACTTTTCACGGGGATGGAAGATAATCTGTGGATCTTCCGGTGAAGGACAAAGCTTGCTTTGGTAGAGCAGACTTTACCACAATCTTGGCACTTGAATGGTTGCCTCTCTGAGACCTCGTTGCTTAACTTCTGCTCACTGCTTGATGGATCCTCAGAGATTTTGTGCATCTTGCGATGGACGTACAGTCTTGCTTTGCTGGGAAAGGCTTCGTCGCAGTCTTTACAGGAGAAGGGGCATTCGCCGGTGTGGAGACGTTCGTGGACCACAAGTCTTTCCTTCTTCTTGAAGCTTTTACTACAGACTGAACACTGGAATGGCTTGGCGAACAAGAGCTCGTAGTTTCTATGGGAGTAACGATGAGCAAGTAGGGTGACCTTCTGCCGAAACCGACGTGGACAGTCTGGACATGCGAAGGGCCGTGACCCGGTATGTACGTGCATGTGGACACCGAGATGGTTCCTTTTAGTGAAGGTTTTGTCACATTCGGGGCAACGAAAAGGACGCTCTTCATCATGAGCATGGACGTGTATATCCAAATACTGTTCAGTAGAAAAGACTTGTGGGCACTGTGGACAGGTTAAGGACTGGCCACTTGTATGGCTGTGCTGGTGGTTGACCAAGGCTTCAGAGTTTGGCCAGCTCTGGTTGCACTCCAAGCACTGCCACGATTCTTCTTGTTTAATGAATGGACTGGTACCGGGACTGAATCAGGAATATACGGCAATACTTCATTCTCCTCCACCTTAATAATGTTCTTTTCTCTATACAAACACTTTCGGCCTTGTTTTGGGGTGTCACTCGGGGCTTTATTTGGGGGACATGGAAGCTCTGAGGAGCTAGCTTTCTCCATGTTGGGATCATGCAGGTCAGACTTGGGATCGTCTGGGTGAATACTGCTGTTTTCAATAGAGGACGCATCGCATTTTTCAGCTTCCGAGCTCTCGCCGTCTTTCTTTCCAAGCTCCGCGGCCTTCAAAGCGTTCTCTTTCTTTTTCCTAGATTTATCCATGAGCCCTTTCACTGCCAGGAGCATGTTCATCCATTTCAGCTCCTTCTTCTTCTTGATAATGGACTGGATTTTTGAGTTTTTCGTCACCTTGGGCTGCTTGCCTTTCAGCCGAAGAGATGCAGCATTCTTCTGTTTTGGTAACTTGTCGCTGGAGGCGTTCAGTTCATCTCCACTGTCAGTCGTTAGTTTGTCCTTGATTTGGAGACGACAACTACGACACTTCTTCGACCATCGCCCAAATCGACGTCTTTTTGGCAGCCGACTGCCACAGGAGTCGCACTGCACTGCCGTGTGACTCAGAAGGTGAAGGTTAAGGGACCTGTTGCATGGGAAAGCCTTGCCACACTGGGGGCACAAGCGTGGCTTCTCATTATCGGGAAGGTCAAGAGTCTGGTCGCTTGTATCAAGTTCATCGGCAGACTCAGTTTCTTGCTTCTCAGACATTTCTTTATTTTTCTTGAAAGAGTCTACCACCTCTTCTTCATCAAGAGGACTTTTATCCTTCTGAAAGATAACTCGGGAATCTTCATCTGACACGTCATCTTCTGGATTGACATCGGCATCCTCGTCATCAGAGAGGCCACTGTACTCATCCCCACTACCTTCTCCAACCTTTTTTTGGGCTCTCTTCTCCTTGATTTGCTGAACACATTTTTGGCACCTTCTGGGGATTCGCTTAGTTTTATATTTAAGTCGCATTGGACAACCACAGGTCACACACTGAGGTGAGGTGTGGCACTTCATATGCCCTGCCAGGAGAGCAGGAATTCTGAAGGTTTCATCACACTTCGGACACTTGTACCTTTTTTTAGCTGCAGAACCCGGAGCTTCTTTCTCATCAAGGTCTAGAATTGCAGTGGACTCACTTGAAATATCTTGTAGGCCATGAGAGTTCGACGAGCTTCCCGCTCTTCTGGACTTGAGTGGTTCTAGCGCAAGGTCCGCGCTGTCAGGAGTTTCTTGATTTGAAAGACGTTCTAGCCTCTTGGCAGCTTTGCGGCATTTAAAGCAGACCGGCAACCAGACCATCTCTTTCCTGCCACGTCTTATCTTCCGCCCACATTTCAAGCATTCTCCGCCAACACCAAATGGCTTCGAGGGCGTTTCTGTGTTATCGGCGTCTTCTTGGTGGTCGTTCTCCATTAGCTCGGAATCTTCTAGTGCATCTTGTACACTGTCTTTGCCTACAGCTTGGTCTATAGAGGAGTCAAGATCTGATGCTTGCTTAGTAGCCGAGCCGTCATCTCCCATCTCCTCAGATTCCAAGTCTTTATTAATGACTTTGGGCGAGGCAACACTTGGTTTTTCTAAATCTTCTTCCACGTTTTTCAGAATGCCTTTGTCTTCCACACCTCCAAGCTCATGGTCTTCAGCATCTCTAAGCTTTATGTCAAGATGACTTTTCTTGGATTCATCATTCTCATTGGTGGACAAAGTCTTGGATGAAAGGTCCAGGTTGGTGGATGGATCTGTAGTTTGTTTTTTTGTACATGCATCTGTTTCCGCATCATCGTTCTCATTTTCTTTGAGGAGGAAGATGCCATCTTGGTCTACCTGCTTGTCTTGCATGACTTCAACTTTTAAGTCTCTACTTTCTGAAGATGAAGCATTTGCATGGTC